GGTTTACAAAAGCAGCCAGATGTTTCTACAGTTCACCATTTCTGGCCGCATACTCTATCATTTAGGTACTCAGCTTTGTTCGGCTAAGATACCACATCTGCTGGAACTTTCCTAGTCTAGATAAACTCTAATTGTACTGTTGTTGGCACAGAAAATGAAAGACACTGAGAGACTGAACGCTGGAGAGAGGGGGCCTTAAATGTCACAGGAGGTCTTTCACCTTTTTATATAAAAGAATAAATTATTAACTTTAAAAAATAACTTCAACCAACCCAAATGCCCCTCAGTAGATGAATGGAACAAGAAAATGTGGTATATATACACAATGGAATTCTATGCCTCCATCAGAAAGAATGGCATTGCTCCATTTGTTAGGAAATGGAAAGGCTTGGAAAAAATTACATTTAGTGAAATAAGCCAAGCCCAAAGAAACATAAGTCCCATGGTTTCCCTTATTTGCAATATCTAGTATATGTCTGAGTCAAGCAGAAAAGGTCAGATAATGTGATGTTAAGAAAATGAACCCTTAGATATGTATTTAAATGTTTTTTTTCTTTCATGACTTGTTTCTAAAGCATTTATAAGATTACTTCTTTGTTGCTTTGTATGTCCCTCCCCCACAGTATAACCCCTGCTTTCACTATATTTGATGTCGGTATAATTTGTGGAGGAGATGGGGAAAAACAAGTCGTTTAAGGATACAGGTGGACCTGTTGCAACAATGAGAAGTACAAGTTGTCATGTCGAAAACGAGCTTTACAACTTTGGTGGGGGGGCGGATTAGGGGGGCGGGGGGAGGCTGGGAAGGGATGAGAAGGGTAAACAAAGGAGGAGGCTGCAATGCTTGATAAGAAATGTACTCATTATCTTGCCCATGTAATTGTAACCCCTCTGTACAGTATGTTCACAAAAAATTAAAATTAAAATTAAAAAAAATAACTTCATAAAAATTTCTTACTATCAGTATGTCTTTTCTGATGAAAAGTTATTAAAATACCCATGGAAAGTAGGCTCAGTTAAAGGGAAAGGCTGGAGACCAGTTCACCAATTTAAAGGCATTGCCCACAAATATTGAATTGTTTGTCTTCTCCTAGACCAAGAATAACAGCTTCCAATTTTTAAGTCTCCATTCTGTGATATCGTAGAAAAACCAAAGAAGCATCGTGAATTTCCAATTAGCCAGTATCTTTGATTTGCTCTAAGGAGTGTTAAAAACTCAGGGACTGCTCTGATATTGTCTCTTACTACCTAGTTTGAGATTAGTTAAAAACAGAATTAAATTTTACTTTCAGTCTCCTAAAGAAACTCAAAAGAAACTTTGGGAATGGGCTTATTTTTGATGAGATTTTCCTTTGATGAGATTTCCTCTCATCAAGGAACAAAGGAGGAGGCAACAGTGTTCAATAGGAAATGTACTCATTACCTTGCTCGTGTAACTGTAACCCTCTGTACAGCATTTTTACAGTAAAAATGTACAAAAAAAGAAAAAAGGAAGTACTGTGTGTGCAGTTTTTGTTTTGTGTGTATGTATGTGTGTGTGTGTGTGTTTGTGTGTGTGTGTGTGTGTGTGTGTGTATGGGGGTTGTCTATATGAGTGCTTGCCATCTTGTTTTAAACTGAAACTGTAGTATTTCATTTGATTATTTAACAAGATCTTTTTATTGAAAGATATTTATACTTAAAATGGACTTATTTTATTTACATTGATTTTATTTACAATGATACTGCTCATAAGAACCACATTTATTTTATTTTTTCCTTTAAAAACCATTGCAAGAATCGGGCACTAGTGGCACATACCTATAATCCTACCTACTCATGGGGCTGAGAGCTGAGAATTGTGGTTCAAAGCCAACTTGACCAGGAAAGTCTGTGAAACTCTTTTTTTGGGGGGAGGGGGGTCCGGTCATGGGGCCTGAACTCTAGGCTTGGGCGCTGTCCCTCAGCTCTTCAGCTCAAGGCTAGCGCTCTACCACTTGAGCTACAGCTCCACTTCCGGCTTTTTTCTTATGTGGTGCTGAGGAATCGAACCCAGGGCCTCAGGCATGCAAGGCAAGCGCTCTACCACTGAGCCAACTTACCAGCCCTGTGAAACTCTTATATCCAATTAATGACCAAAAAGCTAGAGGTGGAGCTGTGGCTCAAGTGGTAGAGTGCCACCTTGAGCAGTTAAGCTAAGGGATAGTGCACAGGCCCTGAGTTCAAGCCCTAATCCTGGCACACACAAAAGAAAGAATGCATCATAAGTATTATTTCAATAACTATACTTCTCTGGTATAGAGTCTGAGTCAGATGTTCACAGAACTATACCCTATAGATACCTACTCAGTGTTTATGCCCTGACAAGCTGTTACAGCTCCCACTGTCTGCATAATTCAGAAGAGTTTCATGACAAAATTAACCCACAAGGAGACAGCTTTTCTTGTGATGCTGGATATTGTGGTCTTTTCACTTCCCTAACAGCAACTCATTCAAAGTAGTTGCGATTTCATACATAAAGATTAGGTCTCCTCAATGCTACAGCAGACATGGATGCACTTTGAAAGGTATAATGGAACAGATACAATGTAAGGGCGAGCATTGCAAGGATGTAGGCTAGCATGATAAAAGGCTGGAGAAAGCACCAATGGGTACATTTAAGGCCCCTCAGGCACAGGGAACCTGGCCTAGAAGTAGTAGTTTATCCCACAGAACAAAACCGTCATAGGCACAACTGGGCTTGTCCAAAAAGAGAATCTATAGGTGGAGTATTGGATTCCTGGAGTGTTTGGTGTTTGATGCTCCCTTCTGTGTGTCTTATAACCATCTGCTCACAATGAGCTAAACCTACAGACTAACTCAGAAGTGCTAGAAAGCTAACAACAGGTCCTGAGCATGAATCAGTCCACCTTGCTATGGACACCAGTGGTACTCTATGGCAAACTTGTAGAGCCTGTAGAAAATACACACTTGCCACCATCTTCAGAAATTCCAACTTGATGAGTATGCACTAATCTTAAACTTACAATTTCAGAAGAAAGTCAGAAAACAGAGTATCTTTTTTTCTCTTTGGTCATCTGTGCTAGTAAATTATTTCTCTGTAATATGACTTGTTCTGCCCAGGAACTTAGTATCTCACCCTCATTTCTTAACACTGGGGTTTATTCTGTGTTCTTTTCCTATGAGACCATACATTCTGATTTATCTTCCTAATTGATACTGTCTCTCATGTATTTTCACTGTTCACTGGACCAAATCCAATCTCTTCTCCTTGAAAGGCCAAGATGTCCCAGAGTGAGTAGTCAGCCTTTTTTATCCTTATGAATCATCCATTCTGGCTCTGTATCTACCAAGTTTGCCTCTTTACTGCTGTCCACCCCACCTTCAGATACTTTCAGTTTTCTCAGTGGGCTAGAATGTTGTTCCTCTGTCTCTTTCTTGAACACCCCAGTTTCTACTGATCTTCCTGGGAGGGAAGATCCTTACAGAAAAACCCCAACACCATTCCCATTGACAGAGAGAAATGAATCAGGTCCACACATAGATAATTAAAAACCAAAAGGTAATAGCAAAGTGTTGGAAGGAAACTTGGAAGACATTTACATGTAGAAGGCGAATGAAGTTTTAAAGTGACTTCATGGTTGAACCCTGTTTCTGGTTAGCAGGTTAAAAAAAGTAGAAAATAGCATCAGGAAATAGCAGGACTGCTGAGAAGTGAGTGTATGATTTGAAGGACTGTCACAATCAGTCTATCAGCCTTCTGGCAAATGCTCCTGTCATATGGGAAGCAAACACTGGGCAGTGTGCCTGAGTGAAGATGAGATCATTATTTTCTGCCCCCACTGAGGAAGTTCCAGTCTTAAAAGGTAGGGAGACCAGGGGCTGTGCCCTCCCACTGAATCTTTTTAGGAATCACCCTAGACCTTATGTGAATGGTTGAAAATGTTCCCAGTGCTCAGCAGTTTCTTGATGAACAAACAATAGATTAGTCAGTGAATCCTCTTACACAGAGCAGATCTGCACATAGTAAATACAGAGATTGGATTGCACCAACAAAAAAGAGAGAGAAAGAAAAGAAAAGAAAACAATTTCCTAACCACAATTCAGCTTCTTCCTTCCTGGGTTATGATTTTGAGTTTCAATAAGAAGCAAACCATCTTATCTTGGAAGGGAGATTGGATTTAGTTTTAATAAAAAAATATGAATTGGGAGCTCGCATTTTTCCCTAAAATTTAATAACAGCACTAGTAAAGACCTCTACTTCTCCACTGGCATTATTTCAGATAGAAGAGAATGGAGCTTCCAGGTAAAGCTTTTCTGTAATGTAAGAACAAGCCTGGTAGCAGCAAAATTCACTGAGAGGCAGGGGAGGGAGGTGACACAGAAGGAGCACCAAGGGTAAGCATGTTCCAGAGTCCAGGGCTGAACGAGGGACATGAAGGTTCCTTAGAGCTAGTTCACAGTGGAAATCTCAGCAATGACGCCATCACTTGTGATATTGCTCCCTTCTTCCATCCACAACTAAACAAAATGAAACAAAAAGGTGTATGTAAAATAACTCATCGTTATGCCCAAAATGGTTATTTACTGAACAGAAATTTCAACATTTGCCATTATTTTTTAAGGAAAACTTGCTTTGCTGCTCAGCTTCAAGTAGCTTTTTCTCTGTGTTCTTTGATTTACAAAAGCATACATATGAATGTGCACACACACACACACACACACACACATAATTATTAAATGTATGCATCTTAATTTACCTTAACAGTTGCCCAGAAGTTCCTCTCTGGTTGATATTCTCCATCTAGATTTAGTAGTTGACCATACAGCATAAGATGGAAAAAGAAAGGGTGGGGGAGAGGTAAGTCTTGCTAAATACCTGTTAAACCATGAAAATTGTGAAGGTTCCAATAGAGGTCTGTTCTTCATGCAGAGTCACTTAATCCCTGTTTATCCCTTCTGGTTGGCTTTGTTTCAGTCAGCAGATTCTATTGATGAGTGTCTTGTCTCCCATCTCTCAGGCTTCGGCAGTCCTGAAGGTTGATGGAGGGCCATGCTATTCAAACAGCAGGCGTGGCTGAGACAGAAGCTTCTGGTCCTGGGAAGCCTCGCCGTTGGGAGTCTCCTGTATCTTGTTGCCAGAGTTGGGAGCTTGGATAGGTGGGTGATTAGACACTTGCTATGCCTGTAGGACTTTAAGTGTTATGTGATGTAAACATCCTTAGGACGTTGAAAGCTCTCTCCATTTGTTTTTATCTCTCGAAATCCCCAAGAAACATGCTTTTCTGCAGTATTGATTTTGATTTATTGAGACTTTAAAAGAAAGAGATTCATGCCGCTCAAGGTATTCCATAAAGATCCATTTGTATTCTGTGTACGTTGATACTTGTTTTTGGAGAAGGGATAAAGCTGTGTACAATAAAAGATGTCATTTGCTCGAGCAGAGTGTGGTCTGCATACATCTGGTGTTGACCTCTAGTCATAACAAAACACTGGTGATAGGACTGCGAATCTTCCTTTTGAAATCTGTGAGTGGACAATTAATGTGCTCTTGGGAGCATTAAAATTATGTATGCTCCTGTAAAGATGCTCATCAACTTTGCAATCCATTGCCCTGGAAAGAGGGCTGCAGGCATGGATTTTTAACTCTGTTAATTAGGTCTGGTTTTTCAGGAGCTGAACATACCAGAGAAGGAGGCTGTCACAGGGACTAATTGCCCAGAAGGCAATGGAAAATCCACAGAGAGGAAATTGAAGAGCGAGGGTCTGAGTCTAAATAGGCAGACTGTTGAGAGATGCTGGACCTGCAAAAGTCTCAGCAATAATCAGCTGAATCTCCGCTAAATGTTCCTGACTGTTCCGCATCCAGTATGATTGGAGTGAACTTCCTTTAAAATCAGTTCTTGTCCTGGGAGGACTGAAATATGCACTCTCCCTGACTTCAATTCCCATTGACACTGAAAATGAAAACACACCTTCATGAAATTAACTTCTTTTCAGTTTTCTTTCCAAAATTTAATTTGTTGATCTTATTGTTCAGATTTAGAAATAGTATGATAGTGCTTGTTTTCCTGTAGTCAGTGTTGACTTTAACTGATAAAATGAACACCCTTTAAGGTTTTTTAGCATGAGTAAACCTCCTTCTCTCTTGTGGTTACTTGTGGGCAAACTATAACTGAGTGCTTATCACTGGAGGTCAACACTTGGAGTAATTCCCTAAATTAGCATTTAGTGAAAAGCCTGAGGTGAGACCATTGTCCTATGTCTGTGAGGAAACCTTTGATATCAAGTTCTTCCCAATACTTTCACTTAGTTTCCACTTTTTACTTTTTATTGAGTCATTGACCTAGTGATTCATTCTTTATTTGATGTTTCTTTTTTATTTTGGTATCTTAATTATAGCACCTTAATAATACATTGTCTTAAAGGTGAAAAAAGTTGAAATAAGAGAAATCAGGCTCAGAGAAATAAATATTTTCAGGATAGTTGCTAATAAAAGCTAATAAAAAATTAATAAATGGTATGAAAACTTCATCTCTGTACTTTTTCAGGTCACTTCTTGAAAAGAATAAATTCATCTTGTAATTTAAAAAACAAATATAATAATTACTCAAAGGCACTAATGTTATCAGTGTAACAACAGATCACATCAAATTGTTAAAAAGTAATTCTGCGTAGAGTTGCAAGGACATGTTTCCTTTTACCATTTGAGTTACTGTACACCTGAATATGGTTGATTTGGTCATTTGGGGAATTATTTATTATCTCAATCACATAATAAGTACATGTGATCATATCCCTGAATATTCAATGATAAACTATTTTGCTCATATAGAAAGTTTTGATTCAGTAACTCAATTGTTTCTTTACTTTTTAACCTCTTCTCTAGCCTCTAATGGGATGACTTTTACAAGGAACTGAACTGCTTGGGGAGGGTAGGGGGTCCTTCTCAAAATTCATCTTGAAAACTATTATGTCTGAAATGGTATGTGAAATTGTGTTTGATTCATACTTACTTGAGCTTATCTGTTAGGAAGTAGAGACTCTGCTGTCTGGGAAAAAAAAAAGGTATGGTTACTTCTACTGTGACTTCCAACCTTAAAACCTCTGTGTTTTTCTTGGTCCGGGATTCATGATCATAAATACTCTTCAAGAAGTGAGGTGGGGGTGGGGGTGTGAATAGTTCTCCTCTTTACATTCTTTCTTTGTATTGGAAAGTTCAACTGCAATTGTTCTGGGAGGTATTATCTCCCAGGATTGAAAGTTTAAAACAAAAACAAAAAGAAAGTAAAGGCAGAAGTAGAAATATCACCATCCCATCTCAGTTAGGATGGAGATATCTATGTCAGACTCTTCAGTCAAGATTCTGTGAAAGAACTGGATCCTATAAAAAATGGATTTGAGTGTCTATTTCCTCTATTCTCCCAAGAGCAGAACTAACATTGTTCTAGAGGCTTAGGAGAAAAGTCTTATCAATGGATGTCTTAGTGAATTTAAGCTTAATTAGAAACTAGAAATTAGAAGAGCTAAAAGACAATCTTATGATAGGCCCAATCAATGTCACAATTAAAAATATTTTCCTATGTATAGTCTTTGACTATGTGGAGTCTTTGATTATGTAACTTTTATATATAGAGCCCTAGTATATTAATCCCATTAAATATATAAAAAGCTAAATTCATGTTTCTCTATTGACTGTAGTAAACCCCATGTCTCTAACTTCCATAATGAGCATCAATTGTTTTAAAATTATTTTCCAAATACTATTAAAAAATATTGCAGGGCTGGGAAGGTGGCTCAGTGGTAGAGCGCTTCCCTTGCATGCATGAG